GTTTCACTTGAAATTGAGGTGATTTAGCCTGGCCAACCAGAACTTTAGCGATCTTTCTTCCTGTCTGTAGACAGTTTGTGGCTTCGCTATTCCCGTTTCTCTGGATGTGCCACGTTTGATGCGAAAAGAAGTCGGAAATCAGTTATTGTCAGATCCAGTTTAGCTTGCGGATCATGTGGTTTCAGTTGGTCAGTCATACGGAAGGTATTTCTATGTCCGTGAAATACTTTCCAGATGAGCCACACACCCCCGCCATAGTCGTTGGTTTTTTCGTCGTCACCCGCCATCCGCGCAAGAGTGGCATCCACCAGTCAGATTCCTGCTACTCACGTAACGAGAAAAAAATGGACAACGGGATCCCACCTGTAATCGTCATGTTGTACTTTGCTGTTCGGAAACAAAAGCAGAGTGACCATATGCTCCTACGACGCATTGCAGTACTATAGAGCAATTCGTCAAGTCTACACATCCAGTAACACTAGTGTTAATGTTAATCTAAGTTACCGGTCGGTTTTTCTAACACCGCACCAATCTGAACTGGCACCGATAGGGTGGGTAGTGGGGTAAGAAAATCTCGTTCTTACGTTTATTTGTAATGAAATTTTATTTTCTTTATCCTCAACTGTAAGAGCCGAATCGGGATTGAATGAGAGAGAGAGTGGTCTTTATTCACGGATTGCTCCTCATCCTCATCCAACCTTCGTTCCTCATACACACGTTTTCCAGCCGGGTTCACAGCGGTGATAGACCGTTCTCCTGCCCCAAATGCGACATGAGTTTCGCCTGCATCTCGAATCTGCGACGCCATCGAAAGCAGGTGCACCCTTCCAGCCCAATCCCAGTCACCGATGGCACGGACGGAAGTGAAGCCACCGTGGTCACACTGGACGACAAAAAGCCTACGCTGTCAAGAATCGCTGTGGCCACCCCAGATCCTAGTGGATCCACAGTTACACTGGATTCCGCAGCAGCCGCGGCCGCTGCATCCTCCCTGCTTTCCTCATCTAATCTGGGTTCGGGGACTGATGCACCACCGGTTGCGCTGGCTGCTGCGGCAGCCATGTCCGGGACTTTACTCACGGCAACCGGAGCCGCATTGGTCCCCGCCAATCTCTTACCCACCTCCTCCTCCGGTATCCCCAGTCTTATTCTGACTTCGGGACCGCCGGGTGCTACCATTTTGGCTGCTGCGCCTGCTCACTTCTCTGATCAACATTCCCAACTACAGCCCACGCTGATTGGTAAGCGCGTTTTTTTCTGTTTGTTTGTCGCTCTTGGTAGTCAGTGCGAAGCTTAATAATATTGTTTCAAACCAGCTCCTTCATTTTCTTTTCTTGCGCACAACTGCTTTGATTGTACACCAGTACGCATCACCATCGGAACAGTTCAGTCGTTCCGTTTCGTCCTCACTCTCCGTTTGGCTAACATTCCCTCTCATTGTGATGTTGATTCCCTCGCCAAAGATAGGCTTTTTGTTGCATTGACTTGCTGATAGTTTTGTTGCACGTGCCCAACTTTTTTCACTATATTCATGCGAAGTCATTGGGTCAAATCGCATCAGCCACGTGACTGCTCAGTTATTCTTGTAAACCCGGCGAAGTCATCACATGACATATAATACGTCATACTATTTTCGTGGGCGTACTGGGATATAGGTAGGGAAGCGAACAAGCTATCCGGTTGCCTCATCACACAGCAGTCATCATTGATGGGTATCTATGGTTCACCCCGAGACTTCAGCCTAGGCATTCACAACACTCGTTGACCAAGTTTCACTAACTCGCGATAGGTGGAGAGAGAGACCCGGATTGCCCCTCCGTGGTTTTCTTTTATTTGCTTGGATCATAAGATCGTGCTAAGGATACCTACTTACTTTACTTTACTACGGCTCCTTAGAAAGGATAGGCCGGCTCCAGACATAATCATGAAGTTCCTTGGGAGATTGATACAAGAGACGTCCCCAACGTCACTGGGCGTTTTTTTTATTTTGAGGGTGCACCTCTAACCTTTGCACACCCAATTGCGAACTGCAAGGTAGCAGGAAGTAATCCCTCACCTCAGAAGTCAGTGACTTTAGTTTTAAAAGACCAGTCACATCGACCTTTGTTACGACACCGCCTTTGGGCTTATGCGGCTTTTGAACAGGAGCCAGGTGACCAACCTGAAACCCACCGCACCCTGGTAGTACCGCTAAGAATACGCACACTAAACTTCAATCTTTCAAGTGTCCATGGTCTGCGAAACCCCAGCTTGTTGATCCATCTCTCGCTAGAGATTCACAGGTTGACGATGGTTGTGAAGAGAAAGATAAAACTTTTCATTGACTATCTTCTGCCCTAGGGGATCCGTGAATATCGCTGCTGACTGCTACCCACGCTCACGGCTGTTTGAGATCAGCTCATCGCGGATCGTAACTCAATCTTTCTCTCTCTCTCTCTCTGTTCCATTGACACTTTGAGGGCTTTATTTTGCTTGTCTCAACTGGATTGGTCGAGCACAATCGCCACATGTTACTTATCACTGAAAAGCCCTGAAAGCACTTCAGAACTGTTTGATCTGACTTGTTGGAATTCGAGGCAGTGTGGATTTGGTGTGCCGACCATTTGCTTTCGGCTGGTTTTCAACAGCTCGCTATGCATCAACCATTCATTGCCAAATCGATGATCTATCGATAATCATTCCAGCAAGCCTATTTAAGGAGAATATGCACTGATTCGGTGCACACTTGGACAAGATTGCCTTTTCTTATCAGCTGAGAGTTCACTGGCTATGAAAGCTACATGATCGGCTAAGTTTCGTTTGTCTGAAGTGTCTGTGGTACAGAAAAATACAGTTTGGAAGGTTGTCTGTCACAAGTATGGGGTGCAGAATTTCGGGTTTTGAATTTGGTGATACCCTGTTGATGCACGGGGAAGTTAATAACTCTCGAAGCCTCTGTAAGCAATGTCTGTTTAGTAATTGTTTTATTTCATCGTTGTAATGAATTTTTGCAAACAATTGTATACTCATTGCGCATCATTTAGCTCAACCAAGAATCATTGCGTCTCCCTCTCAGTGTCTAACGATTTGCATACGCAGTTGTTTATCCTCCACTCTATCTGTCCCCACCCTCTGCCAGCTACTTCGAATGCGGACTCATTGCGACAGACCGCGGTCACATTCATCACTTCCACCGGAGAGCTAGATCGGTCGTGCGCTGGACTCACTGGAGCCACTCTAACCACGGCTGGACCCGAAGGCGGACTGCTCGTGAATTCGTCCAGTGGCGAGACTGTCTATCTGGAACCGGTAAGTGTCATCTTTGTGATCTGTCAGAAAGGTATCCGTTCTTACCCCCTCCGCTCGCTTGCTCTCTCCAAATTGAAGGTTGCAGTTGTGCGCATTAGTGTTCACCTTATCGATATGCATTCGTGGTTTACTGCTCAGTCCTTTTTTGTTGAAATATACTTCACAACGTCTCTTCAGGCATTCTGGCGTGGCAAAGAAAGCAAGGACGTCATTTCTGTCTCTCCATGACCATATATACTTCCGTTTCCCCAGCCATCCCCTGTTGCAGGGTTCCTGCCCGGATGACGCGAGAAAACGATCGCGATCGGTTTAATTTCCCCACCTGGTGTTGAGCTTCATCTGAGGCTGTATTCAGGTTCTGTTTCAATTAGATAAATGCATTTCAAAGTACTTAATCACGATTTTCAAACAACGCCCCGTTACCGTGTGGATTAAGCTCTGGCTAGCCGAACTCTCTGGTTGTGAATTCCCCCAGAAAATTATTCTACTTTTCTCCCGGGAAACCTAGTGGCGTCCAGTCCACTAGTAAATCATCATTATCATTCTTTCTTTGTTACAACGGTTAGTGTGCCGTTAATTGTTTGGCACACAACCTTGTGTAATGCGATAACAGTATCACTAATAATTATTTTCAACTAGTACTCTCATGGATTGCGTACGTCAACTTGTTGTGCTTTATCTTCATTTCTGTTTCTCCGATTTCCGTTGTTCTATTTGCTCCCACGAATAGCTTGATCCCCGGATTGCTTTCGAACCGGGACAACCGTTCACTCTGACCACCATTCCTACGTCGAATAATCCGCACGGGGGAACAACCACCATTCTCGGACCGTCCTACACTGGCGCGCACATTTTGGGTCATCCCGTTCAACTCCAACCCGGCCAACATGGCACTCACATAGCTTTCACCACCAGTCTACCGGGTCAACCGTCCCAGTTGCTGGCCCCGAACACGGCCATGTTCTCTCCGAACACGACCGTTACAAGTAGCAATCCCGGTCAAGGCACCGTCTATGCCAACCAGTCTCATGCCACGGTCATTTTCCCGCCACCTTCCTCGGCGAC